TCTGCCATAGGAGGCATCAGTTATTTAACTTGTTTTTTCCCTGCTTATCGTCTACTGATTACTTGGTTGTGGCAATCAGTAGTTTTCTTTTATTTTTGAATGGGATCTTCCACAAATATTTGTGTCTGTATTCGATTTTTGTTTGTTTGTCATTAACCTTTATCATTAGTATCAGTGCTATTGTTTTCACTGTTTTTAGTGTTATTACCATTATCATTATTGTTATCATTATCATGATTACTATCACTGTTGTTAATGTTATTGTTATTACATTTTTTTATTATAACTGTTATTATTATTATTACAATCATTATTATTACTATTTTTAGTCACTATGATTATTATCATTATCAATATTCACTATCAATATTCATATTGTAATCATCTGTATTATCATTTTATCATAATAATGATCATTAATGTCATTATTGCTATTATTATTATTTGGATTATTATTATTATTATTATAACTATTATTACTATCGTCAATATTGCTATCATTATTATTGTTTCTGTTGGTATTATCATAATTGTTATTATAATTACCCTCATAATTATTATCATCATTCTGATAATTATTATCATTTTCATTATCAACATGATTTTCATTCCAGTTGTTGCAATCATTACTTTTATTGTTATAATCATAACTGTTATCATTATTTTTCTGTCATGACTTGCATTACTACTTGATGAGTCACAGCTTTTCTCTATGTGGATGAGGACAATTATCTAATCCTATACAAAGTTCATTGATAAGCATCACACAAACATCTGTACGTTTCTTCCTTATATTATAAAAAGTTACAATTGTACACATAACCATAAGCAGTTTTTACCGTCACAAAAAATACGTGAACGAGCCACTTGTTAGTCGTTAACGACACACATGAAGTTCAGCAATTTTCCGTATAACAAGTAATTCATATGTTATAAAAGGTAAATTATAACACTGCTACATGAGTTACTTTCAGTTTTGGTGTGCGATTTGGGAAACAGGAAGTGAAAAAAATGTGACACATGAAATTTGATAAAATTTGTTTCAAATATATTATACACATCGGCAGATAATGGTATATGCATCTTCAATCTTCAATCTGCATTAACAGTGCAACAAAGAAAGAGTCAACCATTTACTAAGATTAGAACTTATTATAAATAAACCATAGCGAAGACAAATCTGTGTTCGAAAAAATTACCGAACATCCTGCCCAATAAAAGAGGCATTCGTAACTCCCTTTGCAATTAGTTTACTGCAGCTGGCAAAGGAAACCGTGCATTTTTGAGCATAAGTTGTCAGAAAGATAGAACATGTAAGGTGTCCCGAAGTTGTTACTGAGCCTGATGTCCACACACGGCCCTGATCCATTGGGTTCTCCGTCGTACCATTCGCCCGGCTCAGGATGCCTTCCGTTGAGCCACACCTCTGAGTGCACGCCGACCCAGAGCCCAGTCACTGCAAACATAGAGACATGGGTGATCATGGTTAGAATGGTAAATGATATTAGGTATAGGGTGTTATGTGATGAGATACAGGGTTAATAAAACACGTGTTATTGTGTAGCTCGGTAATTTGGCGATATGCCCTGATGTTTACAAGGTATTTCCAATACAATTTGTACCTCATCTTGTGTCTTTCTGAGATGTCTGATTATTTATGAAGGTTAATTATTATCTCTTCTTAGACACATATCAAAAAAGTATTTATAGTGTCAATCATGAAATTATCTTCATGATTAAATCTCATGTGCGGATTGCCCTAGGGAACAACTGGTTAGATTTTAGTAGTAAACCGGGATATCAGAATAGATGTTGGGGTATGTTATGTAGGGATTAAGACTAGGTTTGTAGTGAAGAGTAAGTGTTTGAGGTATATAGGGATTAATGAAGAAAAATTGATGTTAAAGCTAATGTCAAATATCAGAAGTCTCTGCATGTTACAATTTACCTATGTCAGTGTCAGCTGTAATGGTATACCTCAATTGGATCCTTGGTTGCTGCAGCAATCTTTCATGTGTTGTCCCATCTTAGTCTCTTGTGTACTTTTTTAAATTAAAATTTGTCACAACGAACTCTGTTCCTCCTTACGCACTACATAGAGACTACATTACATATCTGACAGGAAGCGAAATACCCATCATAGAAAAGGCGCTTTATATATTTTACATTTAATAGGGGCATTTTAAGTGTGTATCCAATCACAACTACTGATTTTAGCAAACCTAACCCGCGCTCTGAGCTGCATAGTAACTTCGGAGACGGAAGAAGTCCTGAGACGTCCTCGTGACGGCGAGATCCCCGCCCAGCGCCACGCAGGAGGCCCTGGCATCACTCCAGCTCTTCGGGGAGTTGTCAGCCCACAGGCAGCCGAGATCTTCCAAACCGGGAAGCCTCTGGTAGGGAGCAGGACAAGTTGGCCCTGGGTAGGGGAGGCGCCTCGTTTAATGTACGAACTTGTATGACCATGGCTATTGAAGTAGTGATTACTGTGCATAATATAGTGTAAACGCGATGCTTAACGAAAAACTTAATTCTATACATCTATGCAACTATCACTTCCATGTATCTTGCAATTTTTATCTATATATTAATTCATGAAGTATGGCTGTTCCCTGACCAGCAAAAGCATATACATTATGTTACGTAAACGCATTCCTATTAATAATTTACATTGTCGTTGAAATTAATATACATTTAGAGTATGAATTTAGGTGATACTATATGCCAGCTGTATATTGCTGCATTTTAGTAATAATATTTTTTTGTAGTTTCAAAACTTGAAACTCAGTCATGCAATAAACACAGTGAACATGGGAAATACATAAAGAACTGTTGAAAAAATTATCTGGAATCGCAGTTCCGATTCATAAAACAAAAAAGAAATATACCCGCGCTATGCGACACATTTCCGCGTTAGTCGACACACTGCCGTCCCATCCCATTCAAAACGGTTTCATGCAGGACTGATACCCAGCTCTATATTCAACTACTGAGTGAAAGGACTACACATATGCATACAATCAAAAATGCGAGTCCAGCAAGAGCGCGTTTCATATCCGGGAGGAGGCTGGTGGAAGGCTGCAACTTGCGCCCGGTGGAGAGAGCAAAGATCCCCAGAGTGGCAGAAAAGATGACAGTCCGGAGAGATATTAGCCAAGGAGGCACATTTCATCCTGCTTCCAGAGATGGTCCTCAAGGGAAGGTCCAGGAAAGAAGTCTGTATGGTTGTCGCATACCAGACTTGCCCTGGTATGAGGACGTCGGAGGAAGTCAGTCTCACGAGAAGGAACAAGACGTAGATTGTCCTGTACCTCATCCTTGGCCTCTGCCATGGAGGGAGTTGGGGTCTTAATCGTTGCAATTTCTAAAGCAATATTTTCAAGAAAGCAGTAAAAATATCATATACAGATATTTAACACAGAAATATTAGAGCTGAAAAAACACATGCATGAAATTAGCTATTAAATTGAAGGACTGTAGAACTTGCAGAATAGAGAACTTACTTAGTTGGTTCTCCGAAAGAAGTTACTGTAGAAATAACCTCCGTGCTACAAGGTGCCTGGGAAGCATCTATATTAGTCTGTTATGACAGGATAACATTTTTGGAATACTACGCATGCGCTATGAATGTGTGCACGTTATGTTCTGCAATACGATCGAAAGAGAAGGAGAAGGAGAAGAAGGAGGAGGAGACGAAGACGGAGAAGGAGAAAGAGGAGAAAGAGAAAGAGAAGGATGGAAGGAAGGGTGGGAGAGAAAGCGGAAGGAAGAAAGAAAGGGAGGAAGGAAGGAAAGAAAGGAAGGAAGGGAGGAAGGAAGGAAGGAAAGGAAAGTAGAAAGAGAGAGAGAGAGAGAGAGCGACAGACAGACAGACAGACAGAGTGAGAGAGTGAGAGATGAGAGAGACAGAGAGAGAGAGAGAGAGACAGAGAGAGAGAGAGAGACAGACAGAGAGAGAGAGAGAGAGAGAGAGAGAGAGAGAGAGAGAGAGAGAGAGACAGAGACAGAGAGAGTGAGAGAGACAGAGAGAGAGAGAATATATCCATTTTGATTTGCTATAACTTCCGATTTGTCAGAAAGCTGAAATACATTCATACGTAAAGATTTATCCTTGGAACGCCAAAGCTGACATACCTTTGAGACATTCAATATGCAAATGACATCAGACAAAGTTATGTCCAGTCCCCCCCCGCCCCAGCCATTACAACTGCCCGACAGCGTTGGGGAGAAATGCATGAGCTGATATATGATAATGCACAGTTCATCTATGCAAATATATATCTTGTGTGGCTATACTTCATTTCCGTCTGTATAAACATGAAGTTGAACTGATCATTCAGTGACACAGATCTAAGGAAGGCATTGATGTATTTGCATGTATTATACCCACTTTCACAATCAAAATGCATGCAGGCACGCTCTCTCGCACGCAGGCACGCTTGCTCGCACGCAGACACGCTCACTCGCACGCAGACACGTACACATGCACACATACACGCACGGACGCACACAGGCACGCTCACTCGCAGGCACTCACTTACGTACACACATACACATTGCTCTCTCTCTTCCTTTCCTTACCAGTGTCACCAATAAAATGTCTGTTATTGTGAACACTGAGATATAAGTTAGAATGTAGGTGGTTTCGGTTTGTACTTGAACTGTAAATTACTTATTCCATAAATATGAAAATAAAAGTTATTGGGAGCTTTTGAAACCTGAATTTATTTTTAAAGAATATTTATAGTGTTTGTGAACTCATTAAACAGTAACAAGAAATAAAAATATTTCTATTCCTATATCCATACAGTACATCATACAAATATCAAACTAGGAATCTGCATGCAAATTATGAGTGCTCTATTGTAAATAAGATTTTTTAAAAATAAGTATTAAATACTACTCAGTTAAAATAACATTTGACCCAATATTGAATAAAATAAATTCATATATATATATATATATATATATATATATATATATATATATATATATATATATATATATATATATATATATATATATATATATAATCACAGTAACTTTATACTTATACATTTGAGGTAGTGGTCCTATGTATCTCCATGAACATAGTTATGTTTTGTGTATTTAATCAATGCTATAATGTATGCTTCTTACTCTGACAAAAAAGGGAAACAGAGCAGTTTTCAAAATATATACAAACATAGAAACTACTTCCACTGAGACAATATAGAAACATAATAAGCTAATGATTGTTCTCTTAATGGTTAGAAGTTAACTAAAGAGGTCAAAAATGAGCATTCATAGAATTAATCTGTTACCTTTTACCATTTTCATATACAATATTCTAATCAGAATTATTGTACGGGAATGAAATGCAATAAAACCAAAGATTTTTTTCTCTATATAAGAGGTGCTATATATTTTTTAAATTTTCTATCAGTATCCGTTCATATAAAGTTAGGAAATAAACAATAAATAGCTAGACTACATCATCCAGTGAATTATAACACTTCTTTGATATCATTTCTGGACTTTCATCAATATTTGAAATAAAATGATTGCATCAGTAGGTGACATCTTCATTGCTTAGAAAAGACTGTGATTGTGGTGCAATTACATTTTCTTCACAAAAATATATATATATATATTTTTTTTTATTATTATAGTTGTATGCTATTAAAAGCTTGTGAAATGTAGTCTTTAATTTGTACTGCATACTTCAGAAAGGGAGTATTCACCCTGGTCATTAAAATTTTAAGCTTAAACTTTAGAATGATAAAGTAATGAAAATATATCTGCTCTCCTCTCAAGGCACTGGAATTTTTTTTTAAAAAGCAGTGGCAAATGCTCTCTTCTTTAAAGCCATCAAATCCTGAGCAACAAAAAGAATGGGATTAAGCTTCAAAAGTCAGTCCATCTCCATTTTCTTCAAAAGAGAAATCTCCGAGGCTTTGCCTGGCTGGGGGAGGCATATATGGCACTTCTATATGACCCTCAGAACCTACTAATGCAATCTGAAACTTCATGCGGTCAGGGTGATCAAGGGGAAGGAAGCTCATTTTCTGACGCATTTTAAACATGTTGTGCATAACTGACCAGCATTTTGGAAGATGCTGTGGTTTCATACTTTCAAGGAAATGTTTGCGCCACCTTTGTTCCAATTTCATGACTCCAGTTTTTTCATACCTTTCATATACTTTCTGTCCATGAATACGATACTTGTCATTGGACACTTTTGCCTTCATGTTTGTTGCTTGATCAAGGAGGTCCTTTGAAATGAAATCCACTTCATAGTATTTCATAATTATCTTTTCCAATGCCTTCACTCTTTCTTCTGGAAGGGTGTCTCGACTTCTAAGCAATGTTCTACCTGCATTTCGCACTAATTTACATTCTCGTTCCACCTGAACCTGGTGGTCGTGTTCAATTCCAATGGGAGCATCACACTCTTTAGCAAGCTGTGCACGCAAGAGATCATCCTCACTGTTACTAGTCTGAAAGCAATCACTGCACAAAAGAATAACATCATGACTTTGGTGAGTCTTTAAAATATCTGGGAAATGCTTACGATACTCATGAGGAACAACATTCTTCTTCATTAACTTCTCTTCCTTGCCACATACCACACACTTATTGAGACGTTCTTGAAGGTAAAATTCCCCATCTCCTTCCTGGTATTGTGGTCGTCCAGTAGGTTCAAATTTAAGGCGAACAGTGAGAGGATCTTCGGACACAATTTCACCCAAGCCCTTCGCAACGTACCACAAGGCCTTTTTGGAGTCACATGTACACAACAGTTGATCATCTGGTGCATAAAGTAGACTGTTATAGTAATGCGGTCCTTTACGTGCTGAAAATCCATCTTTGATCTTCTTCATCTTTGCAGGTACTGAGGGCTGACCACTACCTTTGCCAGCACCTGAGGAAGAGAATACTATATCACTGAATGGGAATTTCTCTCATATTAATTTGTTTTTTGAGGTTAGTTTCATAAATACCATGCCAGTATTGTGATTTATGATTTTACTCTGAGTGGACATTGCCCATACATCAGTAGGAGAAAATAACAATCATATCTAAACCATGGTAAACCATCTTACTTGGTGCAAAATCTGTTTTGACATCTGTAAACTTTCTGTCAGTCCATTGGTGACACATTCTTTGTAAAGCAAATTGTACTTCTTGGTACCAATAGGCTTCTGGAGCAATATATAAAGTGAGAGAAGCTGGCTGCCAGTAACAATCTAAGATCTTTATCAGGATCTGGATTCCTGACAAGGCATCTTCTGCTGCATATCGTATCTGAAAATAACACAATGCTGTAACTGTTTTTCAGCAATTAATTCATCTAAAAAATTTAGATCTTTAGTGGTAGACTTTAAACTATTTTTAAATGCTGGACAGATTTGTAGAAAAAAAAAACTGAATCTTATACAATTTCTGTTTCATCAGCCCATCCATTTTCCTTCACATAGGCATAAGAGCTTATAACTTGATAATAGTATGTTACATTTTCATTTATTTGTCACAATGACTGTTTCCTAATCCATTTTTCATTTTATTATAGCTCTGCTGAAAAGGTAATGCAGTTGCAACATCTTTCATTAAAAAAGTACTCTGTAAAATCAAAGCGTGTACTTTCTCTTACATTTACACAAACTATAATGAATTAATTTTCATAAAGCATATAATTTATTAGTGAAAATTTCAGCATTCCAGCATTCCATACCTGTCTTTGGGTGAGTTTTTCAGCCTCCCAATCACTTGCTCTCACTCTCCAGCTCTTATCTAAAGAGCGGTTAAGATACATCTCTGTTAGAGCATTTAATCCTAGGCCATTTAACTGTTTTGGGGGAGAAGCTTTCCCCTGGTCACCTGCCTGCTGGTCTTGTAGAGCTAAATGACGTAAATCAACACATCCATGCACCTGTGAAAATGACT